ACATAAGCAGAAAAAGCCGGAAGTGGCACTATGGCTCAAGTGGTAGAGTGCTAGCCTTGAGCTGAAGAGCTGAGGGACAGCGCCCAGGCCCAGAGTTCAGGCCCCCACAACCGGCCAAAAAAAAAAAAAAAAAAGGATTACTACTTCTATGTTGAAGAACTTGCCTCCCTCTTCTTGGCCCTATCATTTTATGTATCTAAAGATGGACTATGAAGGATTGACCCCTCCCCACCCTATTGTCCCAGGCCCATACAGACACCAGGCAAAATCCCAGGTATGTGTGAACTGCAGGCAGGGCAATCCACCTAAGCCCAGCTGTAAACATCCCATTGTGGGCCCAACTGAAAGGCCCCCACCCTCCCTGACCTAGTGGCTTTTTCATTAACCTCTGCCTCCTTGCTTGGACCTCCTGTAAAAACCCAGCTCCTGTCCCAAAGGCACAACCTCCAAACCCGCGGGAAGGTCTGCGCCCCTCGCTGTTCCTCAATAAACAGTCTGCGCCTGTGGATGATCGAGTCTGGCCTATTCCTTTTCTGTTCTCCTCCATTTTCCTAACACATGTAGATGAGAAAATGAGCTATAACCCATGCCATGTGATATCCTACATCTCTCAACTGATGAATAATTCAGCTGAAAACAAAACTCAGATCTTCTGCTTCCTAGTAATTCTATTCAATAACATTTCACAGTCAACCAAAGGACCTCCAACTCTTTTGTAAGACAATAATCATGTCTCAATACCTGTGGCAAACAAAACCCAGGCCCCACAGATTAAATGAAAGGTTGTTCAAGCTCTTCATATAAAATGGTGTCGAATTTGTATAGAACCTATACATCTTCCATGCACTTCAAATTATCTGGATTATTTACAGCACTAAATGCCATGTAAATAGCTCAGTCATGAATCACTGGCCCAACATGCATAAGGCACCAGGTTGGATCTCCAACACCACAAAACAAAATAAGCGAACACACAAACAAAAAAGCCTGTTCTCTGATAGAGTATAAGTTCTAGGGAACTAGTTGTAACACTATTTGTTATTTATGAAAATAATAATAAAATAAAAACATCTTTACTCATCAGTACAGATACATTATTTTTCTTTTCTGTTTATTTTTCCAGTCCAACTTGATTGAATGTGAGGATGCAGAGGGCCGACTTTGAATGCACCAAATAAGGAAATTAGACATAACCAATGTGGTCTTTCTCCATGTTTGTGCAACCAGAAGTGACAAGTATTTTTTGAAGCCTAACCCTCAAGGTTTATTTCTGAGAAGAAACAAATCTAAATATTTCTAAAGAACGCAGACTAAGTTGGGTTTAGAATTTTATTTGGGGCTAAATGCATCCCTTGCATACAAGAACTACTAGAATGTCATGGAAATGCACCTACTTGAAAGCAAAAAAAAAAAAAATAATGTCTCTGAGATCCTTATCAATTCCTAGAACTTTTGATCCTATTTGTGTTTTGTTTTGTCAGTTATGGGACTTGAATTCTGGGCGTGGACAATGTCCCTCAGCTCATCAGCTCAAAGTGAGCACTCTACCACTTGAGCCACAGCTCCACTTCTGGTTTTCTGAGTGGTTTATTGGAGATAAGAGTCTCACAGAGTTTCTTGCCTTGGCTGGCATTGAGCTGTGATCCTCAGATCTCAGCCTCCTGAGTAGCTAGAATTACAGGCGTGAGCCACCGGTGCCCAGCCTATTCATGTTTTTTAATCTGCATGGATGTCAGAAGCAGAAAGGCTACACTTAGTTCTCAAAGATTCTTCATTTGAAACTAAAACTTCTTGCTTTATCTATTACTTAGGAGTTTAAATTTGTGTACTAACTGGCAACATAAGGAATTAGCCTATCTGAATCACAAATAAATAAAGCCATGAACAAAAGTTTAACAATTTTCTGAGTTGCACTTCATTTGTGCCCACAATGATTGCAGAAATTTCCTCCCAAGGAACTTTGCCATTAATTATCAAATTACTTTAAATTGGCAGCATTTTCAATGACACTATATTGTTCTGTGTCTCATACATCAGCAGGTGCTCACATTACTCAGAGGTTTTGAGTCATAGTAAAGTTAACTATAATAGCCTTAATTATTTCTCTTCAACAATAAAAATGGACCCTGAAAAACACCATAGGAGGGGATTAATGTTTGGCACATGAATAAAAATGAATAGTGATCTTTTATTTTTACTCTGCTGCATTAAATCAAACAATTGAACCCAAATGTTTCAGGTTCAATTTGTATTTGTAATTGTGGTCTAAGTGACTTAATTTTTAATTATATATAAGGTGTTCAATGTTCATTCCTTGAATTGTTATGTGCAATTTTTCTTTTCTACCTGCAGTTCCTTTAGTTAAGCTTCCTTTTCTTTTGACAGGGATTATTTGAATTCCTGACAATACAACAGATCCACATAGCTTCCTCGGTTTTACTGGTACAATTGTAAAATGAAAAATAGATAGTTTATCTCCAGCTTACCTCTGGAGATGAAGATAATAACAATTTTCTACAGTGAGAAAATAGCTTGAGAATAGTATATGGTTGTCCCCTTCTATCTCTCCTTATTTAGGTAAGGATCAGCTGTGTTTAACATCTGACACAATTATCTAGGTGTAGTGTGACAGGGAGCAATTTATACCTTCCCCAAAGGAAAATGTATAAACTCTTCCTTGCCCTAATGCAGAGGGTAATCCAGCAGGAAGCCTACAGCCATGCTGGAAAGGCTGGCAGAAAGCTGCCATCTCTCTGAACTGTAGTGTAATTTTCCAGTCAGATTCAACTGGTGTATCAGAGCCTGAACAACAGCTTGTTTATAAACTCAACTCCCATCTGGATGAAAGCCAACTTCAAATGGAAAATCATATGTCCCAGTAGGAAGTCCTACAGGGCACTGACATTAAGATCTAAAGATACCTTGAGCAGAATGGGAAATGCCAATAATAATAAGAGCAGTGTGGTAGCAGTAGTTAACAACAAGCACAAAGGAAAAGAAAAGACCATTACTTGGAAATTCTTGCTAGGGCTGTGATCAAAGAACACATTCATCCCGTTTCCTCCATGACTATGGTTTGCAGAACTTGAGCCTCCTCACCTTTCTCCTGAATACAGACTGTGTTGCTTGCAAGAAAACCTGCCAAATTTGCTCACAGAAAAGAAAAAGTGTCATTTATAAAATTCCTAATGTAAAAATAAACTTCCACTTGCTATTGGAAGTCATGAAAAAAAAACTGGAGACAATACGGTACTGGGGAAAGACGAAATGCATCGAAACAGCCTCTCATTATTTGGTGTTGAATCTCAAGTACATAATCACATGACCTATCCAGGATCATACCTCTTTTAGCTCAGGATCTTATGTCTACATTCAGAATCTCATCCCTTTATTCAGCCCCAGCTCTGACTGGTTAGAACCCCGTAATGTCAGACAAGATACTTAAATTTAGACTTGCTCATCTCTACACTAGAAATTATAGCAAACAGTTGTCAAGATGGCTGAGATATACTATGAACTCTAATGGTTAAGTAAATCATAGGACATTCAGGAAAAGAATACTGTGTAGCTATTACCAATCACGTTGTCAAAGAGGAATTGAATGGAAAAGCTATTCATCATCCATTAAGTGGAAAAACACAAGTGAATAGCAGTACCTTCTCTAGCGCTTCTGTTTGTCATGGAGAAAGGGCAGCCCTGACCGTCCAACTCCTCCTCCTCTCCCAGCTGTTCAGGTAGCCCTCTTGTGGCCTCCTAGCTACCATCTCAACTCATTAATGCTACTCTTGCCCAGGTTTTCTACTACATTAACAATATAAAGAAGGAGGAACAGAGCAGACTTACCTTCTAGCTTACTTTCTAAGATTTCAACTGTATAACCTGTTACCTGGGTGAATGATGACTGATGAGCACCAAAGCCCTCTAGGTAGAACATCCGTTTCTTTAGCATTGTGAGACAAATGTTTATTCATTGAGCCAAAATTGTGCAAAGGATGCAGAGATAGAAAAGACAACATAGGTTTCCAAGCAGACCTTGTGATAACAACATGATCCCCAGGCAACCAGAGCGTTGAAAAAAGTATTGAATAGCTCTCTGCAGAAGCAAGAAAATCTTCTCAGAGGAAGTGCTACCCAAGGACTCAGAAAAGCCAGGAAGGAAGCAGGGTGTCAGTGGCTCATGCCTGTAATCCTAGCTACTCAGGAGGCTGAGATCAGAGGATCACAGTTCAAAGCCAGCCCAGGAAGGAAACTCTGTGAGACTTTTATAAACCACTCCGAAAACCAGAAGTGGCACTGTGGCTCAAGTGGTAGAGTGCTTACCTTAAGCTGAAGAGGGACAGCACCCAGGCCAAGAGTTCAAGCTCCACAACCAACAAAAAAGAAAATCCAGGCAGGAATTTGACATACAGACAATAGTGAAGGGCTGAGAAGATGGCTTAGTGGTAGAGTGCTTGCCTAGCATGCATGAAGCCCTTAGTACCACATACACAGAAAAAGCCAGAGTGGCAATGTGGCTCAAGTGGTAGAGTGCTAGCCTTGAGCACTGAGAGGCTCAGGGAGAGAGCCCAAGCCCTGAGTTCAAGCCCCAGGACTGGAGAAAAAAAGGAAGGAAGGAAGGAAGGAAGGAAGGAAGGAAGGAAGGAAGGAAGGAAGGAAGGAAGGAAGGAAGGAAGGAAGGAAGGGAGGGAGGGAGGGAGGAAGGAAGGGAGGAAGGGAGGAAGGAAGGAAAGAAGGAAGGAAGGAAGGGAAGAAGGGAGGAAGGGAGGGAGGGAGGGAGGGAGGGAAAAATAGGAAAGGAAAGAGAAAAAAAGAGGAAAAAAAAGAGTGGAAAATCTTCCAGGGAGCAAAACCAGAATGTTTCAGAAACAGGAAGAAAGTGAATCAATCTACCTAGAGTATTAAAAGTAAATGGGTAGACATGGTGTCATGTGTTCATAATCACAACACTCAGGAAGATGTTCCAATATAATTCAAAAAGAGGAATTAGCTTCTTCACCAAGATGGCACTGAAAGCAAAGAAGGGAGCTCCTGCCCCTCCTAAAGCCGAAGCCAAGGACAAGGCTTTGAAGGCCAAGAAGGCAGTGCTGAAAGGTGTCCACAGCCACAAAACCAAGAAGATACACACTTCACCCACCTTCAGACAGCCCAAGACACTGCGGCTCCAAAGACAGTCCAAATACCCTTGGAAGAGTGCTCTGAGGAGAAACAAGCTTGACCACTATGCTATCATCTCCTGGACCACTGAGTCGGCCATGAACAAAATAGAAGACAGCAACACACTTCTGTTCATTGTGGATGTCAAGGCCAACAAGCATCAGACCAAACAGGCTGTGAACAAGCACTTTGACAATGATATGGCTAAGATCAATACCCTGATCAGACCTGATGGAGAGAAGGAGGCATATGTTTGATTGGCTTCTGATTATGATGCTTTAGATGTTGCCAACAAAATTGGAATCATCTAAACTGAGTCCAACTGGCTAATTATAAATATACATTTTTTTCCATCAAAAAAATAAAGAGGAATCAGGATGTGAACCATAGTGAACCACAGGAAGGGTCAGTTAAAAGATGAGCAGGGAAGGCACAGAAAGTGTTAAACAAATATACACAGGAGGATACACGCCTGCAGAGCCTAAGAATGCTGAGAACCTATGGGAAGAATATATTGTCTGAATTATGAGGTGTATGTGGGATTGGAGGTTTAAGGAAGCAGAGGTTATTGGGAAGAAATCTTTGGTAAACCAATGTTCTAATGTTTGCATCCTGTCCTCTGTTTCCTTTCTTCTGCAACCTTAGGCTTAGAAGCAGAACTACAGAATAATTGATATAATTTCCCAGATGCAAATAAAGTCAAAACTTCCAGGTATGAGAAGACAGTGGTATCAGTTGTACCTGAACCCTGAACTAAAACAACATGAACCAAACTCATTTTGAGCTAGGCCCTTTCTGTGCATTTCTTTTTATTCTTGCACTGAATATGGCTTAGATCTTTTGAGCACAAGAAAGATAAACCACTTCTGAGCCAATAGCACCTGCAAGATAAATGCCTTGGTTCACTACCCATATTTTACAACCATAGCATTTGAGTACTTCCAAGGCCTTAGAGTTAGTTTGCAAAGCCAAACAATTAGCACTATAATGAAAAGTCATTTCTGCTACATTTCTAAAATTATAAAATTCCATTCATTATAAATAATGGCATTCTATAAATGAAGCATAGATATATTGTTTTAATATTAGTGCACACAATATTTCTTTAATATATTAGGTAACGTTTTCTAAACTTTTTACTATTTTAACTGTTACTATTTTAACTATTGCCAAAGTAACTTCATATTTCAGTTGCAACCAGTTAGAAAAAAAGAAAAAATGCTGTGATTTCTGAAAAGAATGAAGATTGAGTAATAATTCTGTCATGCTTTGAAATTCAAAGTAATGCATTTGCTCTTTTTATCCAAAATATCACCTTATTTTGAAAATTACTCAAAACTTATTGAAAAACAAGCAGAATGACTGCCAATATAGGCTTTTTATGATTTCTACTGACTGACATGTACGTTTATATTTCAAAGTTTACTTTTCAAATAAGCCTATATTCATGATCCTGGGAAGAACACAGGGAAAAACAAGCAAACTCATAGACACATATATTCTTATTAATCAGATATTAACATTACATTCACATTTTGTTTCTGATTGAAAAACAGATTCAAGATGAAAAATAATATTGCATAACACAACAGAAAATTTAGCACAATATGTATCCAGTCCAGATCGGTTTTCCCAGTCCTATTACTTATCTACACTAATGTCAAAACCAAGAGAAGCTGCAGCCAAATGTTTCACACATGAGCAAACCTCTGAAAGGTGAATAGCTGAGACATATAATAGGTCCAATGGTGATCTAAACCATTTTCAGCACGAAAAGAGCTCGAACACTTCTGCAGCTACTGTTCTCTGTGTTGAGAATGTTCTCTGGTTCTTTGTGTTACTAGGCCATTCTTAGCCTTTGCAATGATATCTCCCTTCTTAGAGAGACCTTCCCAAATCACTTAACTACATTCAATCTGAAACAAGTTCTCTCTTCTGGTATTCCATTTAGTTATTTAATATATCCCTGACCCTGACCCACACAAACTTACTGTACTTTGAATGCCCCCCAAAATGTGTTGGAAACTTAATTCATCTACTGATATAGCTGGAGATAGGGCCAATGTGTTTGTGGGGGAGGGGGTAGTTAGGATGAGTTGAGTCATGAGGGTGGAGACTTTCTGATGGTATTAGTGGCTCTATATGATCTGGAAGAGAAATTGGGCATGATGGTTCATGCCTGTAATTCCTGCTATTAGGGAGATAGAGGTAGATCACAATTTCAAGGCCAGTTGGGCAAAGTTAAAGAGAGTCTATCTCTAAAACGAAATGCAAAGCAGAATGCTGGAGGTCTGGCACATGTGATAGAGTGCTTGCCAAATACGGTTGAGACCTTGGGTTCAAAATAAGAAAAAAAGGAAGAAGAAAAAAAAGAAAGAAAGAAAGAAAGAGAGAGGGAGGGGGAAGGAAGGAAGGAGAGAGGGAAGGAAGGAAGGAAGGAAAGAAGGAAGAAAAAAGAAAAAAGAATAGAGAAAGAAGGAAAAGAAAGAAAGAGGGAAGAAAGAGGAAGAGGGAGGAAGGGAAGAAGAAAAAAAAGAAAACACAATTAGAAGGGGAAATCTAAGCTAACTTGATGGTCTTCTAGCCAAGTAACCCTTCCTCCCACATTCTGATCTAGTAAGATGATGCTGTCTATCCTTGGGCTTTCCCAACTCTAGAACCTCCCTCCACTCTTGATAAATTGCTTAGTCACTACATTCAGTGATAGCCAGAAAACATAGACTAAGCTAAGTATTTATTGTCTACTTCATGTCTGTCATCATTGTATTATTCTTTTGTTTTCTCATATATTATTTGTATTCCTCAGTAAAAGAAAAGCTGATGAAGGATGATAATTAACTCAATCTTACTATTATGCATGCTCATGTCCTGGAGCAGTGCCTGGAACATAGCAGCCAGGAACTGAATAAACTTTAGGATTCTACTAGAGCTGTGCTTATCCCCAGAGTATTTTCATGCATTTTTAGCAAAATGTTGAGTCTTTTTTGCTCAAATGCTATTCCTGGTAGAACGCTATTTCCTCAAGGTGGAACTACTTAGCAGAAAATCTTCCTCTAAAACCTAAAAATCTGCAGGGCAAATTTTATCATGAAGTCTTAAGTGATTGAGCCAAACAGAGAAAGCTCTCCTCAAAGATAGAAGTGGGGTGGGGGGGGAGAGCTTAACCACAAAACTGAATTTAATTTCTGCCATTCCATTGAGAACTAGAAACAGGATCCATGGACAATCCAGTTGGGGTCCTCTGAGTATAATCCAGTAGCCTCTGCCTTCATCCTTCATATTAACGATACCCCAGTCTTTCTCACTTCACCCTCAGTCTTTTTCATTTCTCAATTGGCTTATTTGTTGGATAATTGCATTCATTATCTGCCTATTGATCAATTTGCGTGTGTGCTACGACTTAATAAAAAGATGATGTAAGAAAAATGTGGTTGCCAATATCATAAGGAATTCCCACTTAGCACAGCTCATACAAGTTGGCTTTAAGAGGGGAAAAATACAGACATAGATCCAATATATATCCTACGAAATTAAGAAGAGGGAGGAAATGGGTAAGGGAGAGATCGGTAAAAATGTTGAAAGGAGCAACCTTGATAAAGATACATTGTATTTACCTTCAATCCTTACCCATTATAAATGGGTATTAGAAAAAAATACCAGATAGTAGGGATTGAATACTGCCTTGGAAACTCCTATTGAAATTTCATCCTTGTGGTGAGGTATCAAGAGGAAAATCCCAATGGAGCTTTTTAAAGACATGGTTTGGGCCGGAGGGCTCTATGCTTAGAATCATGGATTGATAAATCAGTGGGTTAATGAGTTATCCTAAGTGTTGTTCTGTGATAAAGCCTTTTAGTGCTAAGTGGTGTCTAGAACCGCCTTGGAATTCTTCAGCATCCCCCATTAGCAAGAAGGCCTTTACTAGATGTGGCTGCCTGGCCTTCTTGGTGAATCATTCAGCCTCCAGAACTGTGAGCTGAAGCCTTTGTTCTTTATCAATTTCCTAGAAAAAAAGTTATTCACTTATAATAGCAGAAAATGGACTCAGAAGTCAGGTAGATATAATCTGCACATACATTGTGATTAAGTAGTACTAAAGCAAATCTAGACATTAACATCACGTGCTAAAGCAAAAATCTCATCTCATTCTCACACAGGTCAGATTGCTGGCAGTTGAACTTGTTCCGCTGAAGCAAGTTATATCTTATCACCAGTGCTGTTTCACACAGAATTTTTTTTCTCCAGTGAGGTTTCACTCGGAGGTATTTTGTGTGAATGGTCAAAAAACTAATCTCTAAAGGAAAGAAGACAACATTGGGCCAAAAATTCAATGCAACTATTGGAATCCTTCCTTTCCAGGTAAGGTAGAAATTCTCCAAAGCAAGATGGTAAAGGAGCAGCACTTGTGAAGTTGGAATTCACATGAGAAGTCACTGGCTGTTATGACTGATGACAATGCAGTCCATGCAGCTTGATAGAGGAGAGGTGAGCAGTACAAAGACGCCTCCAAGATTTGGAGAGCCCTAAGCTAAAGTTAAAAGCTAAAATTATCATTAAAAAGAACAAGTATTTTTTAACTCACATAAATTAAGAGCGTACCTATTTCGATTCTTTCCCTTTGGGAAAGTGTTTAACAAACTTGAGATTTGCTACAGAAATAATTTATTATTTCAAGAACCATGGTGTTTCATGTTTTATATTTTAGGTTCAAGATCTTTTTTTAAAGTCATCAGAAATGTTATTGGCTCTATTAAAACTTGAAAGTTTCCAATTTTATTCTCTAAACAGTTGGTTTATTTGTTGGGTAATTATATTCATCACCTGCCTATTGATTAATTTGTGTGTGTGCTATGCCTAAATAAAAAGATGAGATAAGAATAAAATGTGGTTACCTATGTGGGGAATTCCCACATAGCACAGCTCAGACACCATTGGCTTTAAGATGGGAAAAATGCAGACAAGAATCCAATGTGTATACTACAAAATTAAGAAAAGTGAGGGAAGAGGTGGATAGGGGAGGGATGGGGAGAATGTCGAAAGTAATGACATCGATCAAAATATATTGTACTCATGAACTACTTTGTTAAATGGCAACTCCTTCGTACAACTACTTAAAGATAATAATAAAAATATTTACAGCCCTTTAAGATGTTGTTATGTAATGTACAGTTCCTTTAGAATAAACTTTGTACACATAGACATAGACCAAAGAATAAGATTATAATGCAAGCCATCCAGTGCTATGTCACTTAAACGAAGAAAGTTTTAAAAAAATGGGAGGCTAGAGGGAGAAGCTTGAAAGGCTAGGAGTGGGTGACCTGTTGGGAAAATAGAAACAATATATACTTATT